GCCTCATAATAAACCTAAGCTTGTTCATACCTTGGGCCCCGCTGCTTTATCAAGCCTGCTCTGAGAGACCTCTCATTTCCCTCTCGGGAACCCCTACTGCATCAGACAGGCCTGTGTGGGATCCTGTTTTGGGACAAAAGCAGGTTCTTTCCTTGGGGTTCCTAGCCTCCTGCAACGGTAGCATTCAAGGTGACCTTTGCAGGAAGGCTTGGTTTTCCTAATTCCTTATCAGCTAGCTTCCGCACACAAGGAAACGTATCATACGAATAAAACCGACATCAATGCAGAAGGGATGTCAACTCATTTCTTTTTTTAATTTTATTGCCTCTGCTAAATCTCCCGATGTGAAAATCAGAGGAAGTTGCAGTCCTTTCTTTAAAAATGGAAATATGCGGACTGAAGACAGCATGAGAAAATCTCTAGGGGGCGACATTATCCAAAAGAACCTTCCCATTGCCCTAGCTTAGTCCAAGCCTCCCTGATACCATTCTTCATGGCCTGACTCCTCAAGAACTTTCAAAGGATTCTGGCTTCTATGTATTTCAGAATTCCTCATTAGGGCACCAGTCACATCGGCCAAGATGACTATTTCTGGAATTGATGCCAGCAGTCAGATAACTCAAACTCTTAAGCACACAAATGTGCCTATGACTCGGAAAGCCATTTCCTCTTTTATGGTTTCCTGGGTCACAACCCTGCAGTGGTCTGTGTATTAGCTCTTTGAAGCTAGTAACTCTTTGTCTTCCTACCTTCATCCCTAGCGTAGTGACTCACACAGAAGCCATCTTGTACACATAGCTAGTGATGCACTCTGTGAGAATTCACATAGTGAATGGACACATGGATAAACTCCCAAATTTGGGGGGTGGGTATTAAAACAGTTTGACTTGGAGAATAAGGAGCACAGTATAGCTAGAGGAGGAAAAAAATAACTCATTTTAATAAATAAATGTAAAAACAATCAATGTGCTGTGCTCCTATAGCACTTTCTAAAAAACATATTTTATTGATTTTTACAGAGAGGAAGGGAGAGGGATGGAAAGCTAGAAACATTGATGAGAGAGAAACATCAATCAGCTGCCTCCTGCACACCCCCTACTGGGGATGTGCCTGCAACCAAGCTACATGCCCTTGAGCAGAATCGAACCTGGGGCTCTTCAGTCCACAGGCCGACACTCTATCCCCTGAATCAATCTGGTTAGGGCCTGTAGCACTTTTTATAAAGTTGAAGTATAATTCGCATACCATAAAACTCACCACTGAGTGGTTTCCAGTGCCTTTGCTGAATTATACAATCATCACCTCTAATTCCAGCACATTTCACCGCCCCCAAAAGAGACCCTGATCCTGTAAGCAGTCAGTCCCCACCCCCCATCCCAGCTCCTGGACACCACTTGTCCACTTTCTGTTGCTATGGCTTTGCCTGTCCCGGGCACTTCATATAAACAGAGTCAGTATGTGGCTCTTTGAATCTGGCCTCTGTCCCTGATAATCCCATCACAGGGTGAACGCGCCTGTCAACACGTCTGCTATGTTGTGATTACTTGTTTAACTGCCTTCCTCCCTTGAGGGCAAACACTCTGCCTGGTTTATTTCTGATGCAGAGTTCAGGCTGGCACAGAGGGGCCCTCCATGCCTGTTTGCTGAACGAATGATGCTTTTCCTATTCCAGTGAGTCTGGTTGGGTGGTGTGGGCTGTGCCTGACACGCACTCCTTACACCCATAACAGCTCGGAAAGTTCTCTCTGGCTCTAGATTGAGAGGGAAGCGGAGAGATCCTTGTGGCATGAAATGTCTTGCCCTGGACAATGTTAACCTGTTCCTTTCTAGGGCTGCTGCATCTCTGGGTGACACTAACTGAGGACAGAAGTGAAGCTGAGCAGAACTTACCAATTTATTTGGCTGATGTGGGTGTATTTCAGCTATATGTTTCATTTAAACGCATGGTTTAGTAGTCATTGAAGACATACATTTTTGTAAGGAATTTGTGGAGATAAATAATTAATGTCTACTTGGAGGTTGTATGTATATGTTAATTCCCTGAGCATTGAGAGAGAGAGATGTCCTGGGCTGTAGCCAGGTTGTCACTGATTTACATCAAGCTGGGATTCTGTTCCAAAAGGAGCAGCACTGAGCTGTTAGGACAGGCGGGGTGGGGACCAGGTTCAAGTCTTTCTTCTGGAGGGAAAGAGCTCCAGTGACCTTGACACAGATAGTTCTTGAGGGTCTGGGACCAAGGTCAAGGCACACATTCCCCAGGCTCTGGACAAGGCCACAGTCCGAGCCTCCCCCTTGGACTGTTGTTGACGAGAATCTTGCCAGAGGAGACTTGTCTCTGTTTAAGATAACAACTTCCTCAAACGTGACTCAGATTCTGTGAGATAAACAGTCTCCGGTTCTCTTCCACACCAGGGTTCTGGATATGCAGTTCCTGCTGCTAGGAATGTTCCTCCTCCCCTTTCAACCAGTGAATGCTGACCCCTCCTCCAAAAACGGAGTCCAAACTTCACGCCCTTCGATGCCTCCCATCTTCCCTGGGTGGTGTTTCTGTAGAATTCATTCCAACCTGCCTAACTCTGGGAGTTTAAGAAAATTACAAGTATTGCAGGCTAGTTGAAAATTTGTCCCCTTTCTAGTAGTCTTTTCTTATACTAGTAAATTAGGGCTAAATATTTCTACATCTTTTCCTCTGTGTTTGTGTGTATATTTTTAACAAAGATAGAATCATTTGTAGTTCTTATATTGAAATTTTCTCCTTGCACTTAATAACTTATGGAATTCGAGTGTTAACACATATGGACCTACCTCATCCTTAGAGTGTACATTATGTATTTAACTACTGGTAGACATACAGATGGTCTCTAATGTTCTCTCAGGAATGCCTGTGCCCTGTCTTTCTGCTTGTGGGAGCCCCAGGAGCACAGATTTGAGAAGTGCAGTGACTGTATCAATGCGGTTGTTCCCTGAGCATTTTGCTCCAAGCTTGTCTCCTCTCCCACAGCCTCTGGAGGACAGGGGCACACTGTTTATGTATTGTTTGTATCCCCCAGTGAGTGTCACTGTGCCTGGAACTGTTCAGTGAGTCTTTATTGAATAATTAAATGAATAGCCTTAGCCGGCTTGGCTCAGTGGATAGAGTGTCGGCCTGTGGACTGAAGGGTCCCGGGTTCTATTCTGGTTAAGGGCATATGCCAGGGTTGCAGGCTCGAGGCAGCCGATCAATGATTCCCTCTCATCATTGATGTTTCTCTGTCTCTCCCTTCCTCTCTAAAATCAATGAAAATATATTTTTAGACATTGAATGAATAGATGAATGAGTAACAATGGGAAATGTTGGTGCTCAGAGAGTGAGTCACCTTGATATCCTTATTTTATTTCCTCTCTACTTCCTCGCTGGGCAGAGCCTGTCTCAGGGTGGGCGGGGCATGGACTCAGAGGTCTTCTCTCCTCCCGAGGGCAGCTGCCTCTATTGCTTCCAGCTGACAGCACAGAGAGGCTGACTCGTTTCTATCAGCCTCTCATTCTAACTGTTATTACCAGGCTGCACCTGCAGATCCTTGGTTTTAATTTCTAATTTTTAAAAAGAGATGTGTTAGCCACTTGGTGACATGGGAAGCCAGGAGAATGCTGTGTGCCTGTGGCAGGCAGGAATCTGCAGACGCACACTTGGCAGGGGTGAGGTTTCTCTTTACATTTGTGTTGCCCTCCTCCCCTTACCTCTGGGTAAGGCCGGCCCCTCCCAGCTTGACTTCCTGCCACGGACTCTCCCCACGTTAGTCCATCTTGCTTGTCACTGTAACATGGATTTTCCTAAAACCCTTCTCCTTTCTCAAATCTTTAGAGGCCCCCACTTCATAAAAGCGAAACCCCCTGAGACTGACACTGAGGCCTCCATGGTGTGCCCCGTGCTCCCTGTCACTCACCTTCCTAGCTGCTCCATCCAGACAGTGGTCCCTTTCTCCACACCTCATGCTTTCCAGTCCCAGGACTCTATGTTTGTTTGTGTAAAGTATTGCGTATGTCTCCTCTTCCCCCACTGGCCTCTCCCAGCCTGCCCCCTCCCACCCAGGCCTCCATGGGCTCCTGATCATGCACTTGCTTCAGTCTGGGTAAGTCTCCCTTTTCCTCCACCCACTGAGTCCTTCAGGATTCAGCCAAGTCCTTCCCGCGTGGGGATTGCCCCGGGGCCCACGTGGGGCTCTCTTCAGAACTGTGTCACCTGCTTCTGCCATCTTTTATCCAGTCAGTCTGCACCCCAGCACATGGCTGCCTGAGCGGCGTTCATCTCTTCCCTCGGTTTGTGCTCCATCTGACTTAGTTTTTATTTTAAAATATATTTTTATTGATTTCAGAGAGGAAGGGAAAAGGAGGAAGAGATAGAAACATGAGTGTTGAGAGGGAATCATTGATTGGCTGCCTTTTGCACACCCCATTCTGAGGATGGAGCCTGGTTCCCAGGTGAGTGCCCTTGAGCAGAATGGAACCTGGGACCCTTCAGTCCGCAGGCTGAAGCTCTATCCTCTGAGCCAAACCAGCTAGGCTGTACTTAGTTTTATCTCCTCCACTCCCCCATTTAGTGTAAATTCTGGAAGGCAGAGCTGGAGCCTGCAACCAAAGCTACCCATCGGTCCCTGTCTGCCCCTTGCTCAAGTGGATTAACATTCTGTTTCTCTGGAGTCTTTAAAAAAATAAAAAATAAATAAATTATATATATATATTGATTTCAGAGAGGAAGGGAGAGGGAGAGAGAGGTAGAAATATCAATGGTGAGAGAGAATCATTGATGGGCTGCCTCCTGCACGCCCCGCCCTGGGGATCATACTCACAACCCAGGCATGTTCCCTGATTGGGAATTGAACTGTGACCCCTGGTCCAGGTCCAGAGGCCGATGCTCACCACTGAGCAACACCAGCCAGCCTCTGTGGGGTCTTTAAGATGCAAGTCAGGCCGTTGCTCTACAGACTGTAAGGGGTGGCCTTGCCTCTCCTGTCCTCTTCCAGCCATCCTCCCCATCGCCTCCAGCTGCTGCACCTTGGTTTCCCACCACGTCCCCCGGCGCCTCCTGGACAGAGTGAGCGACTGTCGCATCCAGAGGGCCGACGGGGACTGTGACCTGGCGGCCGTCATGTGAGTGCCCTTGGGGGGGAGGCCTGCCCCTGGGGGTCTGAGCTGGGCACTGCCCATGGCCAGCGGCTCCCGGTCCTTTCTCTCCGTGATGTCCTTCTCCCCTCTCTGCAGCCTCCACATCAGGCACCGAAGGATCTGTGCCAGCCCACACAGCCACACCGTCAAGCAGTGGCTGAGGAAGCAAGCGGCCAGGAAGCATGCCCACGGCCACGTTTGCCACGTGAAGAGGCACCATGGCAAGAGGCACAGCCACAGGGCACATCCGGGGACACCGAGCTCCATGTTGGAGAGTGTGCCAGCGGGCCTGTGAAGAGGCTCCTGCGGGAATCTGGCCAGGGCCGGGTGTGCATTGATGGTGGGAATGTTCCTTCTTGGAAGCCAACAGGGCAGACAAACCCCAATGACACAGTATGCAGAGGTAGCCAGTGATACACTCCCCTGGAAAATGAAAAGATAAAGAAAAACTGCATATCCTATTTTAAGAGTGTGGCAAATAGATACAACTTCAACTTTTTAACAATATATATTTTATTGATTTTTTTATAGAGAGAAAGGAAGAGAGATAGAGAGTTAGAAACATCAATGAGAGAGAAACATCAATCAGTTGCCTCTTACACACTTCCCCCGGGGGATGTGTCCACTACCAATGTAAATGCCCTTGCCGGGAATTGAACCCGGGAGCCTTCAGTCTGCAGGCTGATGCTCTATCCACTGAGCCAAACCAGTTAGGGCTTCTTCAACTTTTTTACTGTAAAGTTCTCCAAACCTACAGAGAAGTTGAAAGAATGGTAATATGAATCCCTGTATCTGTCATCTAGATTAATCATTGTTAATATTTTGTCATAGTTGTCTCTCTCTCTCTTTGTGTGTGTGTATATAAAACACTATATATATATATATATATATATATATATATATATATATATATATAAGTTTTTTTGTAAACCACTAAAAAAATAAGTTATAAACATCATGACACGCCATTCCTAAATTTATTTTTACTGGTACAATTTGGCATCCCTCAAGAATAAAGACATTTTCTATATGGTCACATTATCAGCTTTCTACCAAGAAGAAAAAAAAAGTTTCTAATCCATATATTTCACATTCAGTACCTAGTTTGAATAACCAGTGTTGAAATTACCGATTGATAATTTGATGCTGGAAAAAAAAAATGCCCGCTTTGCTCCAGGAGCCATCTACCCCTGAAGCCAGTTCTCACGGCTCTGGGGAAAGGCCTGGAATTGAGTCCCATGTGGGATGATCTTGCTCTCCCTAAACAAGAGCCTACACCTTGTAACTCCTCCTCACCTTTCCCGCACTGTGGGTGGATCCACCTTTGCCTTCCCGTCCACAGAAGCTTCGGAATGTAAAGCCAGACCTGGTTTCATACTCAGCCATTAGCTGTCAGGAGCATGTGTCCACCTAGGCAGGTGTCAGGTGTCCTGTGCTACCCAGCTGGCCGGTCCCCGCAGTGTGACCAGGATGACAGGGAGGTGATAAGGGACACACGGAGGTGCTGAGCCTGGTATAGTCTAAAGTGTAGACTAAAAATGTACACCTAAGGATGAGAACAATGGCAGGGGCAGGGGGGGAGGGAGGGGGAAGAAGTGGGGTGGGTAAGGGCAGAGGGTGGGATGGGAACCGGGTAGAAGGGAGCTATTGGGGGGGGGGGGGGAGAAAGAAGGAGAAACAATTGTAATAATCTAAGCAATAAAGATTTATTAAATAAAATAAATAAATAAATAAATAAATAATCACCAAGCAGCCTTTGTGTAACACTGCTCATCAGCACCAACTTAGCAGGCCATTTATTTGCTCTCACCAACAATCCTGTGAGCTTTGTATTGCTTTCTCCACTTTTTGGATGAGGAGACCTCATAGGTGCTAAATAATTTGCCCAAGGCCACACAGTAAGTGGCAGAGAGAAGCCTTGTGCCCAGGTCTCCAGGCTTTTCCTGTTCTATCAGCCCCGGCAGAGGGCCCAGCAAGGTGTGGACACACAGGTGGGGCAGAGGGAGAGGCTGCAGATAAAGATCTGAGCACGTAGTGCTTCACCAAGGGCCCAAGGATGCCTGCCGTCAGCATTACCTGCAGCCTGAGAGTAAGCAAGCTGCTACAGGCGGTGCTGGTGCTGGTGCTAATACAGGCAGTACCCTCCCCATAGATGAAAGCAGGCCCCAACCTGATTTCATCGACTTTCCCAATCTGAGACAATGGAGAGTGTTGCACACTCTCTATCACCTTTGCATTGCAAATCTGCCTCACCAGGCTCTTCTGTCAACTTAAAGACAGATTATGTAAAAAAAAAAAAATCCACAATCTTCCACTGAATCCCATCATGCATTTTAGTGTGATAATCCGATAACACAGGGGAACTGAGGAAAATGATTCCTATGTCCTAGTCAGTTCAGGCTGCTATCACCAAATTCCGGAGACGGGTGGTTGGGGAACAGCAAGCATTTATCGCTCACAGTTCTGGAGACTGGGAGTCTGGGGTCGCAGCCTCGGCAGGTTCGGTGTGAGACCAGAGTCCTGAACTGGGGGAACCTGGAGAGGCCTGTTTTTAGGATTCTTATCCGTGCCCCTTTGCTCTCAGCGATAGGGATGATGAGGGGACTGGTGTGTGGCCGGCAGGTATCGTGTGTGAGCCTGTGTGTGACCCGGAGAGCTGCATCTCTGGGACCCAAGCATGCAGCGCCTCACGTTGGCCGGTGGCCCTGGTCCAGGAAGGCATTGTTCCCTGCATCCCATCATCCTGGGGAAGGTGCAGGCGGGCGGAAACTGTGTCCACTGTGCTCCCCCAACATCTTGTGCCTAACCCCCCTGCCTGGCCCATGAGAGGCGCTCAGTGAATATCTGAGCATAAAAGAACGCATTTAGTAGCCACACCCATGGTTGCAAGCACAGGGACAGAACTGGTAGACACGAATCTCTCTCTCTAGCTGGTGTTTGGGAAGCTCGGGGCTGAGTTCTTAGTCTCTTCGGGTGGAGGAGATAGAGCGGACATATTCTTGTCTCGGGGAATAAAGGTAAGTTGATTTGCAGTCCATTACGGGGGGAAATGAATGAACTGTGACTGTGTCCATACCTGGAGGCAGTGGAGCATGAGGCGCCGTGTCAGAGACTCGAAGCGTGTAGATGGGTGGTGAGGCCTGGGAGCGCTGCCTCCTGCAAGGACAGGCCTGAACAAGGCTATTGCAGCTGGGTGTGGCCCTTACACAGTCACCTCATTTTTTTAACGTGAGACATAGCTCCTCCATCCAAAATGGGATCAAGTAACTCGCTAGAGGTAAAAGGAGAAACTTGACACTTACAGTTTCCCGACGTAAATTTCCAAACCAGGCAAGGACTCCCCATGTTTCAGGTGGAGACATCTGAGGCAGTGAAGATGCTCACAATGAGTGTTACGTAAATAACTGAATAAAATATTAGTTGTAAGAGTCTTGTATAAATTTTCATGGCATTAGCACCTGTTATTTAAATACACACACACACATCTTTAAAACTGTTAAGTGAATCTGTTTATATATATATATATATATATATATATATATATATATATATACCATTCCTGAAAACTCTTGCTATTCCATTTATTTTTATAAATTGAAATCAACTGTAAATGAAGTGGGCGAGTTTCTTATTGAAAGACATTTCTCCCAGAAGACTTTTGATAAAGCAGACATTCTTTTTGAAAGCCATGTTGACATTGGATTTTCAGTCTGTGCAGTGTCTGTGATGGGAAAGGACACTGGGCCCCTCTGGTCAGACAGCCCTTCACGGCAATCCCTGTACACAAGGTCGGTCTGCTGATCTGCAGACGGAGAGGGAGAAACTGGTTCCAAAGATGGTTGTTGTGGAGTCAGAGAAGGAGACAGGACGGCAGAGGAGTGATCCGGCCCTGGCCGGGTGGCTCAGTTGATTGAGCATCATCAAGTGCACCAAGGTTGGATTCCCGGTCAGGGCACGTGCCTGGGTTGTGACCTTCATCCTCAGAGGGGGACATACAGGGGGCAGCTGATGTTTCTCCCCGCCTCTCTGTCTAAAATCAATTTTTAAAAAAGCATATTTAAAAAAAGAAGAACCATCTGTCTCTCAGAAGAACGGTGAGAAATACTCACCGCTGCGGGTTTCGAAGCCCGAGGAAGAGGCTCCCAGCCTGTGAACCCGAGAAGCCTCCAGAAGCCAGAAAGAGCAAGGAAAAGGATGGTCCCCCCAAAGGGGCCGGGACCTACTGGCACCTTGGACTGAGCCCAGTGAAACTCGCTTCAGGCTTCAGACCTGCAGAACTTTAAGATATAAATGTCTGTTGTTTTAAGTCATTAAAAAAAAGGGGGGGGGGCAGCCAAAACTGGTTTAGCTCAGTGGATAGAGTGTCAGCCTGCGGACTGAAGGGTCTCGGGTTCGATTTCAGTCAAGGGCAATGTATCGGGTCTAGTAATAACTAATGTCGTTTTAAACATTCGTTTAAAATCTTGCTTGGCATTGACTTGTATTGACATAACCTTCAAACATGTGGTATCTACAGAACGTGTGAAGTGCAATTAACAAGTTTTGCTTGAAAAAGTTTGTGTTTGGTTTGGTTTTTGTTGCAAAACTAGGGCTAAGAAGATGGCGGATGAAGAGCATATTCGGCACTGCATGCTTTACGAGTTCCAATTAGGAAGAAAAGCAAGTGAGGCTGCAAAAAACATCTGTAGTGCTCTTGGTCAAGATGCAGTTAGCGCCAGAAAATGCCAGCGTTGGTTTGAGAAATTTCGCGAGGGAAATTTTTCGTTAGATGACAAGAGTGGTCAAGGCTGTGTGTCCAATTTTGATCAAGAAGCTCTTCAAGCTCTTTTGGTGCAAAATCCTCAAATTACCCAACAAGAGCTTGCGACAACTTTAAATTGTTCACAAAAAAACAATTTCCAATCAATTGCGTGCACTTGGCAAAGTCCAAAAGTTTGGAAAATGGGTTCCTCATGAGTTGACTGACAACAACCGTAATCAAAGAGTCACAATTTGCAGTTCGCTCCTCTCTTGTCAAAAACCGTTTGCCGTTTTTAGAGCAAATTGTTACCGGAGATGAAAAAGGGGAGCTGTATGTTAATTTGAAAAGGCGGCCTCAATGGTTGGACAAAAATGAGGCTCCGCAGCCCACGCCAAAACCTGACTTGCATGCGAAAAAAGTGATGTTGTGTGTTTGGTGGAATTTTAAAGGAATTCTTCATTATGAACTTTTACCATCTACCCAAACCATTACAAGTGCAGTGTATAGTGCCCAATTGGAAAGGTTAGCCCAAGCTTTAAGGGAAAAAGAACCCG